AAATCAAAACGAGTCAATATTGTAGAGGTGTCGTGATCGAGTGGATATTTCAGCGGACTGTGGATCACAAGGTCCGCGGTTCAAGTCCCACCGCGGCACTAATGTCCTTTGGCAAGACATTGATCTACATTTGCCACTCTCCACCCAGGTGTTAAATGGGTACCCGGTAGGATGCGAAAGCTAATGTGGTTTGATTAGCAATGGCGCTTGTAAAATGGCGACTGGCTGGAATGCTTCCCAGTGAGTGGATAATATGCATACCTTGTGTGCGGGTAAGCATGAGTCCGATGACCGGAGTAATAATATATATCTGTAAAGCGCATTGAGAGGGCCTGCGGTCCTTAAATGCGCTATATAAGGTCGAACTATTATTATTCTTATTATTATTGTCAGGGCGCTACAATCTCCCCACTTCATGGTATATAACACTTATCCCCGATTTCCACCCAATGTCCGTATGTGTGTGTGTGTGTGTGCATATGTGGGTATGGTGACTGAATTATATTTAACTTAATTTGTTTTTTGTAGGGGCCCTATTTATATGCAATTTGCTTCTTTGTGGTCCTAATCATATATTTGCTTTTTATTTTGTATGTTTTATGTATTCTATTTTCTATTGTATGTTTTGCCTTTATATGCATATATGGTCAATAAATTTAATTCAATTCAATTCAATTCAAATAACACACACAGATTCATACTCAGTCAGTCACACTCACACATACACACCCACACACGCACACATATTTCTACACGAATACTGTATTGTTACACACTTTCAAATAGGAATTTTCGACAAAGCTTTTTAAAACAGGATAAAGTTAAACTTAATTCTATAGAAGTGGGTAATTGGTTCCATTTCTTCACGCCAGCAACATTTAATGAATTAAGTGAAGAAGTGTTACTTTGGGTTGATGAAAATGTTCTTTTTGACGAGTGCTATATGAATGGATATTTGAATGTTGAATAAACGTATTACTATATTTCACATGAAAAATGTTATTTCTCACAGAGTAGGATTAGAGTATTGAATGTAATCGAATCGTATAAAGGCGAGATTAGCATCTGTTTAAAGAGTGGTATACTTGGACCTTGCATTTGTGACTTTGTTATATTTCTTCGAGACTTTTTCTGTAAAATATATAATTTTTTTAGATGTGATTCATAAGTATTCCCCCCAATATAGTTCCAGTAGTTTAGATGAGGTAAAACAAGGCTATTGTACAGAATATATAAAAACATTACAAGGCAATATAAATATTAGTTTAGAAAGGATACCAACATAGTTAGCAAGTGTCTTAGAAATTTCTGATATATGCACATTCCAATTGAAAGACTCATTAATTTTAACACCAATAAATTTTACATTTTTCAAATTAGATATAACAAGATCATCAATAACAACAGGTACTAAATTACCGGTCACCTTTCTATTTCTTGACCGAAATATGACATAATTTGTTTTAGTAACATTCAAAGATGATTTGTTTACTTTAAACCATGAAGAAACTTTTGAAATGTCCCTGTTTGTTGATGAAACAAGTATGTGTATATTCCTGTTACACATAAGATCACATGTATCATCAGCAAACAGGGAAAACTTTAAAAATGAAGAGGATTTAAATGTATCGTTAATATAGATAAGAAATAAGAGAGGGCCCAGCACAGAACCCTGGGGAACACCACAATAACTCTGTTGTATAGAAGACTTGACACCACTGACCATCACATACTGTTTTCTTTCAGACAAGTAGTTTCCTAACCAATTTAATACAAGGCCTCTAATACCATAAAAGTAAAGCTTTCTTAACAATATGTGGTGGTCAATGGTGTCAAATGCTTTAAGTCCATAAAGAGTCCAATGTAAAAATTATCCTTTTCAATTTCATTTTGTATATGATTACACAAATTTGAGACAGCCAGAGCAGTTGACATTTTTTTCCTAAAACCAAACTGTTCATTAATCAAAATATAGTTTAACTGTACAAAAAAAATATATTTATATATATTAACGTTCATGAACAATTTTTTCTAGAATCTTCGAAAAACAAAGAAAGAAGAGAAATGGGCCTATAATTGGTCAAGTCATTTGAGTTACCTTTTTATAGACTGGTACAATCTTAGCTCATTTCAAACCATTAGGGATAGTTCCTGTACAAATTGATGTATTAAATATGTAGCACAATGGTTCAACAAAATGCAAAATAGAGCTCTTTATCAATGTAGGGTCTATACCATCTGGTCCGTTTGATTTAGAAGCGTTTAAAGAAGAAACTATTTTCAATATTTCATAAACTGAAGTATGTTATAAAAATAATTAGTTTGGAGATTTATTTTCAAGTAAGAATGATTCATATGAGACATTAACAGGTGGAATATTTTGGTTGATATTCCTACCAGTGTTAAAAAAATATGAATTAAATGTTTCTACAATGTCTTTTGATGAGTGTAGTTTAACATTATCATAATAATAATAATAATAATAATAATCCGTGTTTATATAGCGCTCAATACATCGATCCAACGATGTGCCTAAGCGCTTTACAGATATAATACATAACAGCAGGTAACTACATCTTTTATTACCAAGTATAGCATTTATGTTATTACAAATTCTCTTTGTGTCACCCTTTATTTTATTAAAAATAAGAGCATAATATTCAGATTTTGCAATACTTAGTAATAAACTTGTTAACTTATTCTTAAATTTAATCTACTTTTCCTTATAGTTATCACAATGGTTTTTCAGAAACTTTTTATACATTCGATGCTTTTTCTGGATAGACTTCATTAAACCTCTTGTTAACCAAGGTTTTTTAAAACTATATTTGATTATTGACTTTTGTTTTAGTGGGGAAAACATTCATCATATATTAAATGAAAAGTGACATGAGAAATGTCATAACAATTATTGACATCATTGGATGCATAAACACAACTCCAATCAACTTCAATTATTTTCTTTTAAATCTGAGTAAGTTTTCATCGTTAATTCGTCTTTGATGGATTCGTGACTGACTTCCAACGATGAGCTTTTTTTTTTTCTATAAAAAATAGGAAAGTGATCAGAAAAATTAGCCAAAAACAAACCAGAATCAATTTCATTTTCAAAAGAATTGCAAAATATATTATCAATCAAAGTTACATTTGTTGATGATATTCTTGTTGGTTTAATAATCAAAGGGTACAAATTATGAGAAAACATAGTTTCCAGAAATGAATTTGTCTTTTCGTGAGTATTAGCGTTTAAAAAAATTATATTATAATCACCCAAAATATAAATATCATATCATAAATATTATTCATAACATTCAAGCATTCATTCAATTTATCCAGAAAATGATCAATGTTTGTGTTTGGGACTCTATAAATACAGCCAATTACAAGATGTTTATAATTACTTTTCCTTAATTCAATAAATAAAACGTCATATTCTGGCATATTACACGATAAATCAGACCGTATTGTATAATCATATTGATCGTTTATATATATTGCAACACCACGTGCTATTTTGTCTTTTCCATTCGTATTAACAAGATTATAACCATCCAAATTATACATTGCTATTTTTGTTTTTGATTGAAACCATGTTTCTGATACACCAATGGCTGTGAATCTATAATCAATGGTAGCTAACATATTACAGAATGCATCAAAATTTTGGGTCAAGCTCCTGGCATTTACATGACGAAGTGAGAGGTTATTATCCTATTTTGTATAATTATCCAGAAATTCGTCACAAAACGTGTATGTACATTTTTTAGGTTGAATTTCTAAAGGATTTTCACTAGTAATATTTAAATACAAATTTTCATCACAGATGTTGACATCATCTTCACATTACAAATGGATTTATTTTCATATTTTTAAATTGATCAAAGTTAACATTTCTATTCAAGTGAAAGGAAGCATGCATATTTAATATATAGTCATCATCATATTCGTAATGATTGAAAGGGAACATATGAATACAAGTAGAACATATTGCATAACGTGTAGGATTTGAACATCTCATACACTCACCGCAAATATCACATACACCATACATTATCATTCAAAGCAACAGAAGCAAAATTATACAGTAAGCTTGCGGGTGCACCATGTGAGAGAGATGGAGGATTGAGGAAGCAAAATTAAGAGGAAAAAAAGAAAATTGAGAAAATTAAACCACATCAAGTTTCTACAAGAATGTGATTTGTGGTGATTTTACAATATTTAAAAAAGTATTTAAAAAAAATATTACGAGCATGAAACGATTAAAGGAACAAAACAAAATGTAAATGTTAAAGTAAGACTGATGGTGATGTCTAGAGATAAAAATATTTTTAAAATATTCATTTCAGACGGAATAAGTTTTAGTGTAGCTTGCACATGTTCATAGTCTTTTAAGTTCTTTCTTGTCGTGAATCTGTTTCCTTACCGTCTTTCCATTTGTCGCTTTAACTGAGAGGATGATACGTCCGTCTGAGGACCAAGCTGCCAAAACCTTACTTTTTTCTTGTTTACTTGCCATATATGCATTATGGAGGAGACTATGGTTTGCTTCTGTCAAATCCTCACAAATGCTCACAATTTGAATTTGCAAAGACCGAATTAATACCCAAATCCCTGTTGTTTTATTCAAACATCACATAGGCATCACTTGAGCGCAGGTCGATTTGTGCACTCTCTTAAACAATGCCTCCTGTTAATCCAAGCGTGACCACATACCATACGAAAATGATACCAAATGATTTGGGATAAAACACTCTTTCATAAGATGTATAATAATTTATAGTTCGTGAATGATTAAAAAAAAAAAAATAATTGTCTAAGTGTAAACGCACTGTATTACTCTGCTACACAACAGCAAGTAGCCTAGTCGGTTTGAAAAAATAAGGACTTGAAGGGGGAATGTAACCATGTAGTGCACTACGACCGGATTTTCACTTTTCATCATTTTCCCATCGAGAAGTTCATGAAAACAGAAAAACACGTTAACAATTCGATGTCTGTGTTCCTCGCTTCTTTTCATTGCATCAGTCAGTGTCCAGTTAATGAACTGAATCTTTTAAGCCAGAATAACAAGAGCAGTAACCACCCCAACGGCAGTCGAGATACCTATTAAAAAGAAAAGAAGGTACGATAAATCAGCGTTTTTCAACCTTTTTTCCGGTTACAACACCCTTTTCAGAAATAAAAGTTTTCGCGTCACCTCAGTCCCGAGTTCATCATAAAAAAAAATATAAATAATATTTCTTCATCACTCTGAAGCTCATCAAGTGCAATCTTCTACCATAATGCATTATAAAAGTAATAGCCTACTTCTCTACAATCAATACGAGGGAACCTAACGTCAAGGACACCTAGCAAATGGCGTATCCCGAATTTCTTGATGAAGGGGGAGGGGGCAGTGGCGGAACGCATAACGGACAGAGAGGAATGGGTGGGGTGCAGTAGAAGTTATATTTGTTGTTGTTGTTGCTTACAGTGAGTAGAAACAGGAGGGGCATTCACTGCCTTCCTCCTATGTTGGTGGCACAATAGGGACTTTTAGATTTGCGTGGACTGATACGTTTGACGTCCATTCAAGGCAGTGCATTAAAAGGACGTCGATCGTAGCAATCCCCATTGTCTTGGTGCGAATCTAAAAGTCCATAATAATCAATGAAGACGTACCTGACGTGCTTACAGCTTGCATAGCCTTAGAAGTAGTTGACTCTATTATTGGAGCGGTAGCAGGTCCTGTCTGTTCGTCAGGAGCTTTTGTGTTCATGGAGTCGGCTGTGGATGACAATATTTGTTTTTATATTGTAAAAAATAATACGTGAGGAAATAATAAGGAAACATATACATTCATGACTGTAGGAGGAAAGTAAATATTCACTGTAAATAGTTTTTGATTTTTTTTCCAAAGCAAAGTGAGAGCAAGTTTTTTAACTGGTTCTACGGACCGGTTGGAGCCATTAATAGTAATTAATTGTAATTGTAATTGTAACTTGTTATGGCATCATATTCCTTGTAACATAACAAATGAATATCTATGCGTATACGAACACACCCATACAAGTCATACATTCATTCATACATTCATACATGCATCTAAATATATTTCTTTATTCGTTTCGTTTTATTTATATGTACATCTTTTAACAGAAGACAGAACACTGAGAAAAAGATCGTAATGTATTAGAATCATTGAAAGTGTGTTTATTGTCCAAATTTCCGAACGCAACCCCGTTTCTTGGCCAGGGAGATTATTACATGCACAAATAAGCTGAGTATGTGTAACGATTTTGTCTACCAAAAATTCAGTCAATGAAATTTGATTTCATATATTGGCATTAGTGCAATAAAATCTTCTTTTTTATGTGTATTTCATTTTACGCAAAAATATTGTGGACATTCATGATGCTCGGAAAAAGCAACTTGTTCATCCTGCTTCTACTTTATATTGGAGAAATACTCACGTGTAAGACTGAATTTGATATGGAAGTCATTTAGTGTAGAAGGGCTCGAGACTCTAAAAGAGACCGTGATAGTGTCTTGTAAAGCTGCATAAGGAGCTCTTACAATCCTAGATTTTCCATCCCGGCCACTATAGGTGATACTGATATACTTAGCATTTATACTAAGCGTGTTGCCCAGACCAGCGAAGTCGTATGCCGTCATTACCTCTAGGTTGTGGGAAGCTTTAACATTAACCCCCAGTGTCCAGATACATGATCCGGCTGAGGTATACATATATCTACCGGGAAATCCCTGAAAAATGGGGGGGGGGTGAGGAAACAAATATAAGTGATTATTATACACATAACACACAGCAGTGAGGGCATTAGTAGAACAACAAAAAAACAAAAAATCCCACACAAGGTACCTTTGGAACAGTCCCGCCCGAGGCTATAGCCGAGGATGTTTGGACTAATGCCCGAGCAAAATAATGTGTATTATTTGTTTTATAATTCAAATCCAAGTTCAAGTTTTATTGATTTCAATCATAACAGATGACTCAGTTATCAATTTTCAACATGTATGACTCATCGGGTTCTCTTTAGAGGACCTACATCAATATGCTATCCAAAATTTATTTTAAATAGTGTCCCAAGGGAGAGGGCGTTTAGGAGAACACCCCCCCCCCCCCAATAAATTAATGACAATATTGTACGCAACAAACGGAAGAGTTGTCCTTGACTACGTCACATCCCACTGACCAATTTGCCAATCAATTTGAGATTCGTGTAGATGTATTTTATATTGGTCCCATACATTCGTAACTCCCTTACTATTGGTCCGATTTTATAATTGAAACTTTCCCCATTCTGTTTCCGCTTTAATAGAAATTGAACTTATCACCACGGTTGGATTGCCCTTTAAACATTAATACTTGCAGGTGGTAGCTAGGTTGCAACTCTCCCCCCCCCCCCCCCCCCCCGGGGCTGCCAAGTTAAAATGTGATGTGCACTTACACAATGGTATTGATGCCAGGAAAACCTCACTTACGGAGGCTCAAAATCGCAACAACAAAAATCGCCTCGCCGTCATTGGGTCACCCCCCCCCCCCTAGCAAAAAGCTTAATCCGCCCCTGACTTGTTCTGGGATTTCCACAAACACATAACAGATTATGATTTTTTTTTACCGGAGATGTTACATAATAAGGTTGATTGGGAGTTAGTTCCACAGGTTCAGATGTACCACACTGGCCGATCACATCCGCTGAAATGAAAAGGAGAGAAAAACTAAAGAAAATGTTTATTCGAAATTTGATGATGATATTGTACATCAATGCTCTTATTTTACTGAATCACCGGAAGGTAACACACAAACACTGTTGCTGTTGCCGTTGTTGAATTTATATTTTTGCTATGCGAAATCGTTTTATAATAATTACTTACATTATAATCATTATGATCTATTAGACGTCAACGTGGTCATCCAATTGTCATATTAGTAAATCTAGTACTAGAGAATGCTTGTGAAAATCTTCTGGGAATTCAGGTATTTATTAAGAGCACATACCACCATACACTGAGATAGCATTCACTCCGCCACACTGCTGTAGATCATCTCCTTGGCATTCCAGATCACAAAGCCCTACATTACTTCGATCACCCAGTACTGATCCACAGATACAGTCCTGACCGAATAGTCCTAGGTATGAACTGTTAGAGCATGCCTTGGCACAGGTCTGGATATTAACTTGCTCATCCCCTAAATCTGCCTGCACACCATCGAAAAAGAACGGAGCGGTAGCCGTATGGGAGTAACAGCCCTGATAACCTGGAACTGAGAAGAAAAATGAGGGTAAAGAATGTTATGAAATTAAAGCCTAATTTAACGGGACGCGATATACATTTTATGTCAGTATGGGTAGGTTTTCCTGGTTGTGTTGTGTTAAACCGTTAGACATGGGCCTAGCCAACCCTACCCCTAGAACAAGAAAGAACAAAAACAGAAAATAAAATTTCAGGCTAATGATAATACGGAAAGGGTCTGGTAGGGGAATGGTGGATGAACAAACGACATCCTTAGATGTCCGTCACTTTGAGGTTGATATCATTTGGGGTTAGAGAATGGGACAGAAATAGAATTTTAAATAACTTTGAATAGAGCAGCTGAGTAAGTTTTGTTCCATATCTTTTCCTCGCATTAATGTGAATAAGACGTTTGTACTTACCTAAGCAAGATACCGTAGGAACCATCTCACAAGTCTCTCTGAATTCACACTCAAGTGGTAGTTCAGAGTTTTCGATCTTATTGCAGACCGCGTAACCATCTAAGAAGAAGTCAGGTTCGGAAGGTGTGGTATTCCTTTTAATTACCATAGAGCCTTCAAATCCTTCAAATCAAAAGATAAATACCAGACTTTATTCTCGTTCTCTCAGTCTAGTTTAACACAACATGTTGAGTTAAAAATTATCAGCGGGTTGGTAAAGTAGACACGATATACATGATCATTCAGATTAACAAGTTAACACGTGGGTCTTTCCCCTCTAAAATTCACTTTACTTATACACAAACTCCGCGATGACCCCACCATATAGACGTTAACCCATCACGACATCTCCTGCATCTCTCGACATGCTCCCGAGGAGGTCTCCCCACACCTCCCCTTCCTCTAATAGATCGCAGCATCCCACTCGGCACTTGCAATCCATGGATGTCCGCCTTCACTCCTGTAATTCATCCTTACAAACAGAATTATTCCATAAAAATGATAACAGAATTTCCCGTCAAATAATTCAAAAGCCACCCAAACATCACAACCTTTCAACACATCAGACCAGCCCTCTGACAAGCAAGCATCATTCAATCTTGAAATGTTTCCCTCAGTGATCTTACGCTTTTGTTTATTTTCCTTTCTTCCATGATCGTTAGAGTGTATATCATAAAGCACGCAGAATACAGATAGATGATCAGAAATTTCTCTATAAAATAGTCAAGACTGAGAATAACTTTTCCTGGTTTTCACAAAAATATTATCCAGAAGTGTGGATGATCGGTCACTTATACTTGAAGACTAATCAATCATTGCACTGAAGGCATTCGAATCAAGTATATTTTGGAAACGGAGGGTATGAGCATTTGTTGTCAATAGGTCAATATCAAAATCACCCATTATGCACACAAATTTATCAGATGTACGTATTAATAGCTGAATAAAGATCGTTAAGAAACGTATCAATATCGGTGTAAGAGGGTCAATATACTATACACACAATGAGTTTTATTTGAGGATAAGTCAACCTCTATACACATAAGCTCTGCACTTTGACTTCGGAAGGAAACATCCTCTATAAATATGAAAGAAAATTTGTCAGAGACATAAAAGAGAAAACCTCCACCACGTCCATTTGGCTAGTCTTTACGAACTAATTTGTAACCTTCTATAAAAAAAAAATATATATATATATATATATAATTAAAAAGAGGGTGTGCATTAGCATTCAACAATGTCTCAGATAGACGTAGACCTATTATTGAGCAGTCAAACTTCAAAGAAGATAACAACGTATCAAAATTACCGAAGCTTTTGGAGAGGCTCCTTGCATTAAAATGTAAAAAAAGACAAATTGCAATTGTTGAAACCGTTTTGCAAAGACAGGGTTGTATTCATTTGGAACATAATACCTACAATCAATGTTTTGTTGCAATTGATATTCGTCTAAGATCATTTAAGCATCATTTTGATAATCAAAATAGACCCTTCACTGTCAAGCAATGCAAATGGAGATATGTAATTTAGCATAATAACATTTAAAAGGACATAAGTAAGGGCGGAAAGAAAGAAAATACGAGATATAAGTACAAAATATTTACACATGTTAAATACAGAAAAGCAAAAATGCTATGGAACAGGGCAAAACGGATAAACAAGGCCATGCTCACACACATAAAAAAGTATTAATACAAAACAGAGACGATGATAGTTATTCACAAGATATATCCAGTCATGTCCATTTTCGGCTAGCATGTGTTGATAAAGCCCCCCTTAAGTGCTGGCAGAATCAAATATCTGATGGGAAATTTTTACTTCAAATATATAAAGATGTTAAAGAGTATGTTATTTATCACACAGTTCTGCAAGGATTTTCAAAATATATACATTTTAAGGGCAATATTTTTTGTTGTACGCAGAAAACCCAGATACTTGTTTTCTCATCAATATTCGTCTGCAAACACATAATATTAAAAAAAATCATTGCAGACGTGTGTGTTTAATGACACCCTCTTTCACATCATCATATAATTTAAGTGAAAGTTTGCCATCAAATTGTTTAGGCTCCTAAAATTTTAGAGGGGCTTTAACAACTATTCGTAAGATTCAAATTTTGTTATTATAAGTCGTCGTAAATAACATTGAGCAGTCTTACTGACCAGTATACTGACAGACGGTATCAGCAATGTCAGTGTTCCAGTAAGTGTCATCCACACAGATTTGACAATCTTTGCTATCGAGAGAACCTCCTGTCACGATGGTCACCTCGGGAATTCCTCGCCAAACTCCAGGTACGTCATTCAGACTTATATCGGCTACATCAAGAAACGAATAAATTAAACGAAATGCTACAACAAGTGTAATTATGCTCATGTCAAGAAAGAAAGTCTGTCTGATTGTAATGATTCATGTTCCCATTTGAATCTTGCTGAGATCTACACCCCTCCCCTCCGTACATTATATTTGAATGGAAATTTTTAATTTTTTCTTTGTTTTCTTTTGTGAAATCTATTCTTATAATAATATACGCCTGTATAAAAAAGAAAGGAATATAAACTGTTTTTCTATTTAAAATGTGGAATAAATAAAACTTCAAACTTCAAACTTCAAACTTCAAACAATTACCCCCATCCCCCTTGGAAATATACCCCCTCTTGAAATTACCCCCTTGGACAATCACCCCAACCCCCTCGAGGACAAGTCAGTGTGGACTCTCCTTTAATGAAAAAGGGGAGTAATCTTTGGGGGAGTTGGGGGAGGGGTAATTGTAAACCGAGGTTGATCGTCCTAGGGGGTAATTTTCCGGGGGTAATTGTCCTGGGGGTGATTTTACACAGGTAATTTTCCGGCTGTAATTGTGCTTTGGGGGCAGGGGGCAATTGTCCCGCTGGTAATAGGCCGGGGGTGATTGCCCAAGGGGTAATTGTATACCTGTACCGCTCTTTTACTACACTAATTTACTGGCGGGTAAATTCCTCGTAAATTTTAATTCACATGGTTGCACTAATGGGCTTCCGTTTATTTGTCTTTCCATCATGAAATGTTTTGCATAAAAAGGATTAAAAGGTTACCGTAACAAACAAAAACTACCTCATAACTCATGTCGTGATATTATATATTAACACTGTGATCAGTCTATGCAAATCGTCTTTATTTTTTATTTCAGAATTAGTCCATCAATATTCAATATTAAGCACATTGTAGTTTCTTAAAAGCTAATATTCACATTCTCTAAAATTACATTTTCGGGAGCGGATCCATGATTGTTTATCAAACGAGAAAACATAATTCCATAAACTCTCTGACAAGCAAACTACAACAATTACAAATGAAATCTTGTTGTGTATGTCAGGAATGGAATGTTCCGTTGTTTCTTTTCTTCAGTTCCTCACTTGATACCGCTATTCTCAGATTTTATTTTTGTCGTAAAATGTCAAGATTGTTTTCTTGCCATGTAAGCCAAATTAAAACACCGTTAAACACTTTCGAGACCAGGCAAAATATTGATTAGTAACTGTGATGACTTTAATTAAGAAATATATTCAGCTCCTTAAAATTACGTTGATCCGCATCTGGAAGAGGAATGGGAACTGGCGGATTTGAGATATTTAATCAAATTCATTTATTTGTTTAACCAACAAAATATATATACAATCAAGATAAGTTACATCAAAAATTTAGAGGAACACAATGATGGTTTGGTGACCCCGGAGAAAGCAGGGCTTATAAAAAGGGGCCACCAAATTGAAATAAATAAAGAGATCAGCAATACTTATACAAAGAAGATCACCATCGAACATTAATATAAACAAGGAACAAGGAAAAAAGACAAAAAAGAGAAGCATATTCAACCAGCAAGCAGATACATAATTTTTACAGCAGAATTACATACATATTGGGTTGAAGATGGCTGACGATGATGTTACTAGAAGCAGGATCAGAGATATGAGAAGAACACAACAGTCATGATTCGCTCCATTGATGACACTCTTCTGAAAACCCATTTTGCTCCCAGAATTATCTTTCATTGACTTGTAATATTAGCCTTTATCTCTAGAATCAATGTTAGGTACACAAAAACGCGTATGTCTCAATTGAAGATACGTTTATTATAACTGAAAATAACACTTCACATCAAATTAAATAGTCGAATGAACGCTAGCGCTATATATATATATATATATATAAATGAGTTATGCCTGCGAACGAAGTCCAACCGTTACTGCAAACCCTGTTTATGTCTCGGGTCGCGGCTCGCTGGGCCAATTTTTTTTAAACGGTATCTTCAAATCGGCTTTATAAGGGGGAAATTTATTGAAGAAGAGGTTTGAAATTATTGACACTCTTTATTTTATTCTATAGCTTTCGTCCTTTCATCAATGAATCTTAAAGGTTTATGGGTTGTTTATCATTTTTATCTTTCTTTAATCCTTTCGGCACATCCCTTGCATTTTTTCCTCCTTTCATCTCTTCTCATCCTCTATTTATGTATATCTTTATCTTTGATTCTTCTACCATCCGTTCTTTTAAATTCCTTCTGCTTTATTTCCTTAATCGTCTTTCTGCCTCTGTCGTAGATTTTCTTTTTTATAAGTTTTTGTCCTTTCATTCTATCTTCATTTTGTTTTATTTCATCAAAATCATTACGATATTTTTTTGTTGGTTTCCCCTATCATTTTATGTTTTCTTATGACATATTGTAATGGTTCTTCTACTTTAACTCGTTCTCTCCCTTCATCCCCCCCCCCCTTCATTCCTCTTTTCCTCTAGGCCTACAATGTGATTCTTTATTTTCTGCAATTCAACTTCCCTATCTGTATGTTAATTGTTAATTCTGCTGGTGCATTCTACCACAATTTTCCATTAGGCCTATAATATACTTTGTTTCTGTATTTCGCTCTTTTCCATTTTATTCTATAATTTGTTCTTTGTTTCCCACAATTCATCTTCTCCTTGTAATTTCCATCCTATTATTCCTCACTTTATTTTCATGTCAGTCTTTAAAAAATGTTCTTTCTACATTTTATTCTATCCCTTTATTTCCCTTCTCTTTTTTCTATCATGTAATTCTTGATTTTCTTCACTTTTTTCTTACTATCTTTATCACTATAAGATCTGGCCAATGAAATC